TATATATATATATATATATATATATATATATATATATGTGTGTGTGTGTGTGTGTGTAAATAAGAGCTTCTAAATTAGATTTAATTACACATGACCTCCCTTTTTTTATTAGAATATTTGAATTTGCAGGCAAGCTATGGCTGACTTGGTTAATGAGGTACTGTGGCTGCAGAGCATGTCCGTATCATCACCCCTCCAGCACAGTCCTGATGACACATTAGATTAGTTGGTTTTTGCCATACCTCATAAGCTAACAAGCATTTAGTTTAAATTAGATTCAAGTTTTATAACCCATAAATAGTCTGAATTATACACAGTTTTTCCCCCACAATTTCTCTGTGAATGTCACAATCTAACCTTAAATCAGTTTTATAGGAAGATCCAAACTATAGAATAGTATTCACCAATAATTGTGTGTTAAATATTACTCTTAAATAATCTTTCTTTACGCTTCATAGCAGCCCCTTTTCCTTATCTAAGATCTATGCTGATCCCTTCATTCATGGCACTGTTAATGCATCTATATGTTACAGACCTGGAAAACTGTCAAAGATTCTAATTCTATAGATATGGTCGCACTGAATTGCATCACTCGGTTGCAATTAAATACTGTGAAGGCAGCAAGGTCTCATCTAAATTTCCCTCATATTTACTCATTTACAATTTTGCTTCTTGGTAAGGAAAGTGGAATTTGTTCATTATTTTCTAAGCTGGAAGTTAGATTTAATTCGTTTAATTAATGATTCTAGTTTAGATTTTTACAGTTATTAAAAACTTATTTCAAACCATTATACATCCTTGCATCAATGTACTGTATGAACTCATCTGTCTGGGTGAATAAAAGACGTTTTCACTGTTTCAGTTTCTGAAATGACTTTTTTTTCTGAAAGGAATGTTTTAGGTTAATGTTTTTTCTTCTTTTCTGACTGAATGATGAAATGTTATTCATCCCACAGGGAATCATATCAGCAGTGCTGACTGAGTGCTCCACAGACAAAGGCTTCATCCCCGTTAACAAGAACTTATGGTAAGATTTGTCACTAAATATTTAAGGAGGGAAACTTATATGAGTAGTTAATTTTTGGTATTAATTGAAATACTTGAGGAGATTTTTACAAACAGCTTTCAATATTGAATATTTAACAGTTTTTAAAAGTCTTGATTATTAGTTTTGTTTTTGCTTTATTTATTTTTTTACTGTAAATAAATCTCGTTACTCATTTAGTATTTCCTTTTTTTTTAATAACTCTTATTAAAAGTCCACCTAATATCAGAGTGTGTTATTTCCCACATATTTTTTTATTCTATTAAAACCATGGAAAATTAGTTTCTGTCTAACTTCTCTCTTAATTTGATCCATAAATGGATTAATGTTGTAATTCCTTTGATTTTACATTGGATTCAAACCTACTGCCTCTATTCAGAAAACAGTTTTAACCCTTGTAAAAATTAATGGAATTGCAGGCCAAACTTTTCAATAAAAGCTGGAAATAGGTTTTAATCAAAAAAAAGTTTGGTTGAAGAATATCAAATTTTATTAGTTTAACTACATTTTATGTACATGCATGAAAATAATGAATAACAGTGCCAAAATGAAGGAGCCGCTGCTTTATTTTAGCTAAATGTTTTAAACCCTTAAGCAATCAGTTAAATTAGTGTAATACTGATAAAGTACTTGACAGTTGGCAGATTGTTGGTGTGAGAACACCTAACCACATTAGAAAAGCAAACAAACAAGGGTGTATGATTTTATCTAGATATGATTTTACATGTTTATGCTGAATGTGTTTTTATCACTCTTAGGTCACTGTCATATGTGACAACATTGGCTTGTTTTGCCTTTGTGTTGCTCTTGCTGGTCTACTACACAATTGATGTTAAGAAATGGTGGTCTGGGGCACCTTTCTACTACCCAGGTGAGCATTTCTGTCAGAAATACAAAGCTAGATCACTAGACTGCTTTCATGTTTTCTTTTATTTTATTTTTATACCTGGTTGAACCTCTGTAACTTTTTGAATTAAGGGGAAGGTTTTTGTGAGAGTTTCCTCAATCTTATCAGATTAACTAATTACAGGTATGAACTCCATCCTGGTGTACGTGGGCCACGAAGTCTTCGAGGGCTACTTCCCCTTCCGCTGGCGCATGGTTAACAGCCAGTCCCACACTGAGCACCTCATCCAGAACGTTTTTGCCACATCTTTGTGGGTTTTTATCTCTTACATCCTTTACAGAAAGAGGATTTTTTGGAAAATCTAGAGGGCAAATAGCTAAATCGCTAATGGTGCATAATATATGCAAACACTGTTTACATCTTTTTTGTTGAAAATAAAATTTATAATCATTTGAAATGGGAGAGCAGGTATTAATTGAGGTTATTAATGTTATGATTGTTTCAAACAGCACCTCACCATTTTTGTCTTTATCTTGCATCTTTTGTCAATGAACATGAGACTGCAGGGACATGAAATATAACATTTTTGGTTAGTGATGAAGTACCAAGTAGTTTTGTTTCTCTTTAAATGGGGTTTTCAGTCTTACAATTACATTTTTTAAATCATCATTATTAGGGTTAATTGAGTAGGGTTGGACTATATAATACTTTTTTGTTTTGTTAGCTCAGCATTGCTTACCCATTTTTTTGCTTAAGGAAAAAAAATCATTGTGTACATGGATTTATGTAGAAATTTGATTCCTCCTCAAATGTTTGCAAAGTGCATTTGTTGATTTGTGCCAACATATTTTTTAAAGCGCTTTACTGTTTATTTGTACAAACAGTAGATGATCGCTATGTTTTAGAGCACATTTATGAGGAGTTATATGTAAAACCCATTGATTATTCAAATGCTGTCACATTTGGTATGACTTCTAATCTTGTACTGTCTGAAGTGATTTTGCTGTCCAATTTTTATACATGGTATTTTTATATTTTGTTCATTATTCAAAGATTATTTAATAAAGCTAATTAAGAATTAAACTCATCTTGAGTTTTATTACAGTTTGTGGTACATTGTATGTACTCTTGAGAAAACAAAAGGTTATTTTTTCCTGAAATATTTTTTATTATTTTTTTTTTATATATATAACATAATAATTTAGATGATGTTTTCATTGCAACAGTTCTCTTACTCATATTCAACTTCTATGGCCAATGAATAGCCTGTAATTCTGTCTTAATCCCAGTCCCAAAGCTTATGTACTTCAATTTAATCTGTACACAGATGGTTCAAGTGCATAGGGTGACCCCTCCCTCAGTGCGATCTTTTGCCACCGCCCCCACGTGTCCATGATCCCTGCTTAAGTTAAACATGCACCAAAGCAGATTTCAATGAAGGGAATTTCCCACAATTCATTGCTGCATATCATGTATATAATATATTTATGTATATATCATAAATATAAAATTGGAAATGGGGTAACTGTTAAGCTTCTATCCTTTGTGTTTGATTTTGATAAACATTAAAGACCCTCTGAATCATACACAAATCACAGATAGTTTTTGTGCTCTAAAATGAATTTCAGTCAATTTCCCCCACAAGTTCCGGTTTAATTGATCGTTGAGAGGATAATTTGCAACAAAATGTGAATTTTCCACTAAAGATTGGTGTGTAAGCGAACAGCTTATTTTATTAGATTATTTTTAGATTTTTTTTAGATTACATCTATTTTATTAGATGTAATAAAAAATGCAGTGCCATACCTCAGCCCTTAAATTCAAATAATGAAGACCACTCTGTTTAAAAACATCACATTTTAAAATTTTATTTTATTCTAGCATTTAGATCCAGTTAGTCTTAATACTTCTGTAGAAGCTCTTGTATATTCCAATGTGTGTTTTTGTATCCTTTCCTAATTTAAGAGTTTTTTTACACATCCAATATTTTGTTTGAATTTTACTAATTTGTTGTGAAAATAAGGTTAAAATGAGTGAACTCAAGTGCTTGAGCTGAAGAAAACACTTACCAAAAGATAATTCATATTACACTCTATATATGTGAATGCAAAAGTGCTTCTGGTTAAACACATTTTTCAGCAGTAACATGGCAAAGACAGGTGTCGGTCCTGTCACTTTCGATGACCCGTTATGATGCAAGTATTGTTCCAATTCTCCAGATATTTTATTCGCCTGTGACCTGCGCACTCGAACCATAAAGTGCATTCTATGTGCGCACTTTATAGAGGTGTTTAGGTATGGCAGTGTTTAAACGCCACACTTACGGCTCAGTGTGAGTATTGGGACTGTCGTGGGAATCCTGTAACTACATGAAGGCAAAAAAAAAATCAACGACGGCTAATTAAGGTGCTTCTCAATCTCGCGATACCAAGTAGGTTCCTAATTTGTGTCAACGGTGAGAGTTTTCCCATTCTCGCGCGGTTTAGGAATTTTCCCACGGTTGTTGTTTAGGCTAATGCTTTCTGTTAGTCACCCCATTTCCACCCTTCCCTTTTACCCCTCCCACCTATCTCACCCTTTTCTTCCATCACACCTCCCGCTGTCACTCTTCTTTCTCAGTATGTTTTTATGAAGCGGATTGGCTATGCACAGAGTTTAGGGGTGGGATCTCGCGATCGTTGGATTTTGTTTCCAAGTGGGAGGGAGGAGGGGAGATTCGAAGATGGCGCCCGTCGTGACGGGGTAAGTAGAAATTTGGTCATAATGTGGTTGAAAATGTCAATTTAACATTTATATGAACAGCCCCGGATTACATAAATGCTTCTATTCTGTTCTCTGACGTAAGATTTCCTAAAATGTTAGTTTAGATACCTTAATGATGTCGCCCGGTACAGCTTGTGGTTGCTGGGTCAGTTTCGCAAAACTACTTTTCGTAGCATGCTGCTTCTCTGTTCCTCGTGACATTTTTAAAGATTATTTGAAATTATTGCAGACACTTCTCATGAGGTAACTTTTATTTTTTTCATTTTAAGACCTTCTTTTCCAGCGCTATTTCCATATCTCTGGCTGTCTTTCGTTGTTTTGGTTCATTACGTTCACTTTTCTATTCAATCACAACAACATCTAGCTCCATCATCACATGTACATCTCTGCATTAGCTCATTCCCTACTGTATTTCAGCTAAAAAAAATCGTGAACGGATGGTTCTGCTATAAATGTGAACTGTTTTGGAATAGCTTCAGGGGCATTAAGTCTGTTTTGTTTCTGCTGTACACTAAAACCTCATGTACAATGCATCAGATCATGTTATTGTCTTGCAGGAAGTTTAGTGAGCCACATCTGCCCCGACGTTTAACGAGGTAAGGATGGAACTTCAGCTGAGTCCTACTTTACATATTTTTCACTACAATTTTAACAGGTCTACAGATCTTTATATGCAAGTGCAACTACGTAAACAGACATGACATTGTACTAAATGACCTTAGTGCTGGAATTCAAAGAGAGAGAGACTTATTTCAATCTGAAAAACTCACACAAAGAGAAAAGACAATTAGAAGAAATTTATTGATACAATTACTTTGTCTTTGGCACTTAGACCTCGGCAGGAAAGATAGCACTGAATTTTGATAGATATGCATGGACAGGGGCAAAAGATAGGGCTGTTTCTCCCCCAGGTCTGGAACTGGTGGTTGAGTGGAGATAGATAAAGTTGGTCAGTCTGTAGACTGCTGGTTAGTGAGACGGTATGCTGAGCTTTATGGGGAGATCCAGTGGACTGCGTGAGCTGATGCTAGAGCTTCACTCAGGGACCTGGAAGAATGAAGTCCAGTTTGGATAACACAGGTTTAGAGAACCTATTCATGATGAGCAAGCATGAAGTGACAGTGGAGAGGAAAAACTCCCCGTTGGGAAGAACCTCTGGCAGAACCAGGCTCAACAAGGCGGTCTTCTGCCGGACCGGTTGAAATGAGACACGGAATATAGAAGAGTCCGGAAGGAATGACACTCTGATGAAGTTTTAACTACGATGGTGGAAGAGGTGGGTTGAAACGGGGTCATCTGAATGAAGTCACACGGCGCACCCAGCGGCAGACAAGTTGCGGATCAGAGGCCTTTTAAAAGGAGCTTCGGATGCCGATGGGCTTTTGTGGAGGTGTGGTTCAAAGCTGATGTGTCGTAGGTGGATGTAGGAGAGCAGTTTCTTCAGTTGAACTTCCGCAGAGGCTCCATTTCTGAGTGATGTCTTATTATTCTCTCCCCTCTTCAATTGGTAATGTTTAAATCGATGAATTCATTTTATTAAAATACACTATCTTAGTTGGAACAGGTTTTGCACTTATTGCATCATTGATGCAGCATCTGTATGCAGATTCAGTCTTACCTAAGGTCTTAAGGAAAGGTCCCGCTAATAGAGGACTTGGATTCATTCTTATGACTCTCCTCTTCTCTCTGACAATTCTTATTTTCTTCATGGTTTAACTCAGCATAACCTCCTGGCATGGTACAGTGATACAATAGTCATTAAAGCAGGTGTTCCCACTGGAAAATCAAATTGCTATATCCATAAAGCTTGTCATTGGAATTATGCATTAAATTCCCTGGTAAATGGCAGCTGAACTTGGACTTGATAAAACACATTGGATCCGTAACGGCAACTTTTTATCCAACTTTCCTTTAATATGCTTTTATACTAACCTCTGCAAACAGGCAGCTTTTTGGAAATACATACAGTTTGAGCTGTAGTTTCTATAGCTCCTCTACAGGGGGCCAAAAAAATTTGGCCAAACACGTCTCAAGCCAGTATAATTGTGTGCATTTTTCTATACAAAATACAATTTTTGTGTTCAAAAGTAACTGATTAATCTTATGTAAGATTTAGAACTTGTACAGAGCACGGAGTTCATATTTTGAACAGAATTAAGAACAAAATAATGACATTCTAGTTCACTAAAGTGGAGTTGTGTAATGCAGTTTGCCCATTGTCATTTAACAGATACCCATCTTTTATTTCAGAGAGGCAATGAGGACCTACTTAAAAGAGAAACAGGATCAAACAGTGCTCATACTACATGCTAAAGTGGCACAAAAGTCTTACGGGAATGAGAAAAGGTCTGCGTGAACCTAACTACTTCAAATAGAGATATTTCCTGATCAAAATGGATATAAGGACCTTTTTTCACTAAAAGTTTGTACCCATTAGGTTTTTCTGTCCTCCACCATGTGTGTATCTGATGGGAACGGGTTGGCAGAAGAAGGTGAAGGAGTTGGTGAAAGATGGCTGCTCTGAGCAGGAGGCCCAGCCTTATGTCTTTATTGGGATAGGCAGCAGTGAGCAGGACATGCAACAACTTTTTCTGGAAGGAAAGGTGAGTCACAAATTATAATATACCATTCACTAAGAGCTCAAGTGCCTTAGGCATACTTTGCTACATTGGTATCCAGAAATTTCTGTGTATTCTATTTGGATTAATATGATAGATAAGGGGTATTTGATATATTTTCCATTCTCTGAACTAGAATAAATAAAAAAAAGATGGATACTTGCATTAAAGAAGGGCACCTGATGGGGAAGCTGTTGTTGCCTGACTTTCTCCAGAATGTTGTACTGTTGAGCAGTTGCATTCTGTAGTCCTAAAGACATTGGGGACTTTCTAAAAGCTACAGGCAGTTGGCTTTTCCTTCATGTCAGTAATATTTATGGTTGACCTAAAAAAAAGTTGTTAGGATCACTGTGGAGAAAGCTAATATAATTTAGAGCCGGGGAAAAATGTTGACATGGAGTTTTGTTCAGCCTATTATCTCTTTTTCACTTTAGCTGACAGGAAATTTTTAATGGGTCCTGTTGGCTTTGTTTTGGTATTTGCATTTATGAAGAGCATTATAGACATAAACCTTCTGCCTTAATACATGTTGAGAACAGCTAGTAGGTAAATGTACAAGCTGAATGGAAAAGGCTGCATTTAAAGAGATTCACAAAGAATACATGTACATTTCTAAGCATAGACCTGAATACTAAATAATGTATATTAAGATATTAGAATTACATAATTAGTTTTTTCTACACAAAAACAAAATCATAGTTATTCTCGTAAACTAACAGGCCAGGCAAGCAGAGCTTTAAACAGGAAAGCCAGTAGGCATTTTGTAGCTGGGAAAGCTGCAGAGATCCTCACTTTTGGTTGGAACAATACCAGGCAGGATCGATTACAAAAGAAATTGAGAAAGTTCGGTTTTTAAGAATAGTGACAAGAAAAGATATTAAGAATGGTTTGGATCAAAACTGTGTTCATACATATAGGAACTGTCCCAGGCATTTTTTTAGATTTAAATAGAAATGAGAGTCCTGGTGAGACTCGGGAGTTTTTGCTTAGACTCTTTACTACCAACTTGTCTGAGCTTGAGCTATTTTACTAAGCATGGGCGGAACTGTTTAACCATCCCCCCAGTTAGTATTTTTTTAATCAGATGGACTTAATACAAATTAATTCATGGCCCATTTTCCTGAGTTTTATTTGCTATTGATTCTTTCCTTTTTCCTACCCTTGACAATCATGCATAACTTTTTTGTTTTACTACCAATACTTAATTAAATAACCACATTGAAGTTAATGAAATTAATTTCACAGCTTGTAGAGAAGCTAATGGAGGATTAACAATAGTTATATTCCCATTAAAAGTTTTTAATCTCTGTTATAGTACCGAAATTTAAGAATTTACCTATAACGACCCAAAATGTATCATGAATCATATGCACTTTTATTACTTATTTTGTAATGTCGAATGTAAGAAAAGCTTGTTCGAGTGGTATTAGTAGAGAATAATAGTCAACAAAAATAGGTATGAGAAAAACTGACCCATGTATTATTAATCAACAGGTTACAGAAACTTTAAACAGAGACAAGAGTATTCCTATCAGAGTGCCAAAATCAGAGATTGTAGAGATAATCCCATATTAGTTTTTTTGGCTACATTCAGACTGATATCTGATGATAATATTGGATCGGAACACCCCTAACTACACCTATGTTTGCTTTTAAATAAGTTGTTCTTTCAAATACACGAAGGATAAAAAGAATCAAATTAATTTAATCCTTTCTCTTCTTCAGAACTTCTGCACAGCTAAAACATTGTATATCAGTGATACAGACAAAAGAAAGCACTTCATGCTGTCAGTGAAGATGTTACATGGAAACAGTGCGGATATTGGAGTTTTTCCAAGCAAGAGGATCAAAGTCATCTCCAAACCCTCCAAGAAGAAGCAGTCCCTTAAAAATGCAGATTGTGAGTGTCACACAACAGAGGTGGGAGATCTGAAGCCATCTGTCATTTATGTGTTCTATCCAAGCACTGAACCAGGCAAGTCTGTTTTGCACAATTTAATTCACTGTGCAGATTGGCCTTACCTGGTTGAGTGGCTGGATAGAACAAATACATGACAGAGATGACTTGATGGCTTCATACCTATTTCACACAACCACCCTGGCCTGTATTGATGTGATCATAGGGAGAACCTTTGGTTTAAGTCTCCTCTTTGTTTTTCACCAGTGTGCATAGCTTCTGGGACTAAAGTAGCCTTGTTCAACCGCCTGCGTTCCCAAACAGTCAGCACCAGGTATCTTCATGTGGAGGGGGGTAACTTTCATGCCAGCTCCCAGCAGTGGGGGGCCTTTTACATTCACCTGTGTAAGTCACACTTTTTTTTTTTGTGGGGAGTTTGTCCACTTCTTTTTAAAGGGTGAATAAATGAATGAATGTCTATTCATTCAAAATTCTATCTTAAATTTTTTAGTGGATGACGATGAATCTGAAGGAGAAGAATTCACCGTTAAAGATGGCTACATTCACTACGGTCAGACGGTGAAATTGGTCTGCTCTGTTACTGGCCTGGCTCTGCCCAGACTGGTATGCTTGGCATTACGAATGTGTCCTGAAACACAACCCTTATTCTTAGTTTGTGTCACTGTTTGCATCACCTGTTTTCATGATGGCTGTTTTTGCCGCATCAGATCATTCGCAAAGTGGACAAGCAAGCAGCTCTGTTGGATGCAGATGACCCTGTATCTCAGCTTCACAAGTGTGCCTTCTACCTAAAAGATACAGAGAAGATGTATCTCTGTCTCTCACAGGAGAGGATCATCCAGTACCAGGTGAGGAGATGCATTCCTGTGCATACATATAAATGTGTTTTAGAACATGTGTCTGTTTACATATTTATTCAGCTTTAACAACTCCAAGAAATCCATGTGATATAGATGAATTAAAGGGAAGAAAATACCATCCATCCATCTTCTTGTGCTTATCCTGGGTCTGGTTGCAGGGGTAGCAGCCTGAGTTGGGCGTCCCAGACTTCCCTCTCCCCAAGCTACTTGGGCTAGCTTATTCCTGGAAATCCCAAGGCGTTCCCAGGCAAACTAAACAACATAGTCCCTCCAGATTGTCCTGGGTCTTCCACTGGACAGGAGACATCCTGACCAGTTGCCCAATTTACCTCATCTGACTTTTCTCGATGTGGAGAAGCAAAGGATCTACTCTTGAGTCCTTCCTAGATGACTCTGCTTCTTCTGATTGAGTTCTTTCTTCATCATGACTGACCGATATTCTAGGTCTTGTTCATTGATTAATAAAGACCTGGAAATACTGACACTCCTTCACTTGAGGCAGGACATCCTCCCCATCCAGGAGATGGGGAGGTGTATAGGGGAGATGTCTACCCTTTTCCCGCTCGAGACAACGGTCTCGGATTCAGAGGCACTGATCCTCATCCTGGCCACTTCACATTCGGCTGTGAACCGCTCCAGTTAGAGCTGTATATCATAGCCTAATGAAGCCTGCTGTACCACATCATCTACAAAAGGTAGAGACGCAATTTCTGGGTTGCTTTTAAAAAAGCCGTTTTAATTTAGCCCTAGAAGAACCGTTTCACCATCATATCTCCAGTATAGACACAGACTAGCAGTCACCCTTTCTCCGTGCTTGGCCAAGCTGTTGGACTGCAGGCTCCTCTGATCCCCCTCTGTTATTCTTTCACCTACAGCAGTTAGCCTCTAGAGGTTAGCCTTGGCTAGCCTTAGCCTCTCGCTGCTCATTCTCCCTGCGGGCTGAGCTCAGAATGCTGTCTCACCTTACCTCTGTCTTGGTGATT